GCCCAGACATCTAGCTAACAACGTGGCTATCCGCTATCTCTGGCCACATACATATCTGAGGACCTGCACGCCTAAGGTCCAAAGAATGGTGGTAACGAGTCCGTGAACAACAGCCAGGAGCTGCCATTGGCTTGCACGGCCCCTATACGGTCCACATCAACCAGTCCCCAATCCTCTTCATAGCGCTGCAGCACCACACTGTCACCCTGGCCCAGCAACAACGGCACAGAGAATTCCACGAAGATGGAGGGCTGTGACCTGTTCGCATGTGCAGCCCACAGCCTGTTCGGTGATGGCACGCTGCGGTATCCAGTACTGTAGTTGTACGATAAGGAGTACGTCACGTTGAATCCACCTGAGCCATAAAAGACCAGGGCCGGTGCAGATCTGCCAAGGGATGAGTAAGTTGGCGTGGGAGCAGTGCTGCCGCCTGCCCAGCGCCATGCAGACACAGGTGGCGCGGATGGGTAGCCCGCACGCATAAAATCGAGACAATGGACGGCACTGTCGGAGACTATCCGGCAGCCGCCACCATCTCCGTAATCCTTCGTGCTGTCAAGGCGGACGATGTCAATGAAGGCGTTGGTATCCCAGTTAGCTGGTGGAGAGCCATCACATGTGACGGCGCCTGACCGCTGAAGCATAATGCCAGTGCGGGGCTTGCCAGGCGGTCCACTTGCCAACAGTGTCGCGATGGGTGAAGAGAACTCCACATACACCCAGGGTGCGCAATAAGTGCGCTCGGTGAGCGACATGGTCCGGGTGCTGGAAGGGGAGCGGGTGCCATCCGCATAGATGTACACAACACGGTAGACGACGACCATTCTGCCGTAGCCCCAGAACCTCAGACCTGTGGGGGCTGTTGTACATTTGCCGGCCCCACTAAATTGAGTTCGCATGCACCGCACTGGCGGTGGAGTATCTGCATCATGCAAACGCGGATTCATTCGATGGGAATAATTGTCAAGAGATGTTGGCAGTGATAGGTGGATACACACAAAAGCATTCCACCGTCTTCCGAATTTTGAGCTTCGAACTCGATCGCTATTCAGTCAAAGCTTTGACTGAACAGTACGATACACACGGGGTATCAGCCAACAACATAAAATTACGTCTACAGTAATCAAAAATATATTCTTAACATGTTAAAGGTAGGCAAGGCACACACACATGTATATATGTTAATATGTGGATGGTGCGTACATATTAGAATACGTTATTAAAAATATCGTTATTATACATTCACACGGTACGCGATGACTTTATGGGCCGGCTTCCATTAGCCAGTTAGCTGGCCAATTAACTGAGAGGCTAAAAGTCGGCCGTGTTAAAAGCACGTGCCAGTTAGCCATACCGTAGTGCTACTTATAGTTCGTGATCGCTTTGTTCGGGGAGGGGTCAAAAAACTTTCTGAAATTTGTACGTGCTCTTTGAATTTCGGGGAAGGCCGGACCAGATTTTGCGGGCATGATACATATTTCGGGGCCCCTTCCAAAGCCGAGCCATGGTTGACCCGCGGATTTGTTGAAGAGGACGTCCAACAGGTCGAATGCCAGGCTGCGGCGTGAGCGCAAGCCTCGCCTCGCCGGCTGCCGTAGCATTGACCGCATTGCGCTCGCGCCTAGCAACCTCCTCGTGCTCCATTCGCTCACGCTGGGCCTCGACAACAGCATCATCAAGCCTAACTGGTGCAAATCCAGCTCGGTCGCTCACCGGAGCGTTTGGTGCTAGCGGTTTCATCCCGCATTGAAGCAGGGTTGCCTGTCTTGCACGTTTTCCAGCGTTGTTCATGTCCTACGTTTATGACTATATTTTATGTATTTAAGAGCTGATTTCCGCCTTGAAATCCTAGTTTTTGCGAAGTTTGATCGACCGGCTTCGGAGGGTACGATATTTCGGGGCTGCGGTCCCTTGGGATACCTTAGAATCTGTACGTGCTACATATTCGTGGTGCCTCCCGAATCATTGTAGCACGAACTATAAGTAGCACTACGGTATTTAAGCAAACTGGGCCCGCGTGCGCCCTCCACAGTACTCAGGGTCGCGCGAGTAGTATTCTGCAAACTAAGCAAATTTCATTGTCTCTTAGATATAAGAAGACTTTAACAACATCGATTATCGACTCAGATTGTTTCGGTGCACGGTGAACTTACCACCTGAGAGCCCTCAGTTATACTGGATTTACCACCTGCTGAAAGTTCGCAACAACTAGTTATACAATTTAACAGTTAAAGATAATAGCCCTTTGTGTGAAGCTGCGTTTGCCGCTTTAATTAGCTGCGCAAATGCAACGCATGCAAAGAAGCGACACCAGCGGATATCTTCTATGGCCATTTCAGTGCACGTTCCGTCCGTGTTCAAATCAAACTATGTATTCTTGTATTTTATAACGGATCCTTGTACTATGACAACGAAACAAACAAGCAATGGAACATACCAGTAGGTTACAGCTGACATAACTGAGATACCAAAGAAGCTCTCTACAGTTAGCCAACATTGCGAGCTGAACAGGAACTAGGTTGAGGCGCCGTTGATCCGCTAGATTTGGTTGGATGCTGGTGGTGAGTTGCCGAACCCAACGAATACATTCTGAAGTCGGATGGGGTGACGGATTAGGGTGCCCCTCTAGCAGGGGAGAGCAGGGACTGCCCGGGAAAGGGGGCCGCTGGCGAAGTTAACCACCCTGTAACAATATACATTTAGTGGGTGGAACGCCAGCTATCTTACCCTAACTAGAGCGCGCTAACTGGCTAATGGAAGCCGGCCGTATGTCTGACAAATAAACACGATCTGTGGGAAGATACGATACATTGAGTGGAATGACCGATGCATGAACAGAATCCAGCCGCACGCACAGATGTACCTACCTTCTACACGGATGGCTCTCTCGGACCATACCCAGGACGCATTGGAACGGGCCAGCACCCGCCCACTTGAGTCTTGAAGCGACATGATGACACCGGCAGTGGTGCGATCAGCACGGTTCTGGACCCGCATTTGAATGAGGTTGGGCCCCTTCTGCAGTGTCACTGGCACTGGCGGAATAGGAGTGCCATCCCAACCCCTAATGAGCCTGCTGGTACCCGTCTGCATGCCGTTGATGTAAATCCAGACGTAATCGTCTGCGGCGATATATATGTAGGCAGTCATCACACTTGCAGCCGTGTAAATGTAGCTAAAAGTAGTTACGGGGTTTGTGGGGGCGCCAGGAATTGACTGTGATGCGCCGCCACGTGACCAGATCCATTGCGCACTTGGGTCAACAAAGGAGTTGTAGTACCAGGGGGCCGCTCCTCGGGTGCCCAAGAGGGCCACAGCTGCGACACAGCAGATGTGCGTTAGGTCAAGGCGGGATTTGTGTTTCCATAGTTACAATTTGAAAGATAGAAGTGATGATTGCAGATGACCTGATAAGATGATTCTGTCGGGCGTGCATGAGAGAACGAGAAGTGACGATTAATGATGCAAACAGCTAACCAAGACAGTGGCAACCGCCGAGTGACAAAAGCTATCTAGTGCCAAGAGTCCCCAATATTGTCCTTCCCACCGTTCTCCTGCCCGCAGTCGCTCAATTGCAACTTACGTCTCACTCCGCCCGCCACAGTTTTTGGATCCATGAAGAAGCCGGGTCCTGCTCCCTCGTCACGTTTGAGGGTGCAGGTATAGTCGCTCTGCCTGAATACCCAGTAACGGCAGTCTGGGTTAACGGAGCATGCACCGCAGCAGTCCCCTGGCGATTGCGTTCTGAAAGTTTTGATTGATGATGCGTTCGTACCGTAACCCGTACCAGGCAGCACATTGGCGCACACTGCAAGTCAATCGGCACGCACATGTGTACACAGTGCAAGCTTATTAGGTGACCGCAGGTAATCGCCAGCGTTATTTTTTTGCAGAATAATTTCCGAATTCGGAATAAAAAATTGTTCGTGGTCCTGAAAGATAAGAATGAATAATGTTCCGTCCGTACAAGTTAAACTCCGCCAGCCAAAAAATGCCAAAGCCGCTAGAATCTTACAGGAGACATACATGTTAACCATATCACAGTATTTTGATGCCGTGGATACTGTTAGGAAGCTCACGCCCGGAAGTGAACGAGGAATCGGACTGTTTCTGACCGGACCAAACGCTGCAAAACATTCGGACCCGAAGCACCGAAAGCGTGGAAGGCCATTAAAGCAGATATTAAACTTGAAGCCATTAGCGACACTAATGAAGACGGTATAGAGGTTGTGGGCAATGTGGACGCAATGCTGCAGCCAGCCGACGGTTTCCCACGGTTGCCCACTCCGGTTGTCAACAGTGAGCGGGCCAAACATCAACGTTCGTCATATGGAGACAATCGCGATGGGCCAGGAAACAGGTTGCGTTTGGTGGTTCCGGTTGATTGCTGCTATGCATTACTTTTGCAACCCGGAAAGTCGTGCAGTGTTATCTTTCAACGTGATGCAAGACGAACGATGGTGAACGAACTCTATTCGATCAGTGCTTGAGAAATTGTGGTGTGCGCGTGTTGCGACATTCCCCAAACCCGGCGTTGCACGAACTAAACTGTAACTCATCGGGGGCCCCCGGGAGGTCTGTGTAGTATCCTGGGTATCACGACATCTGTCATCCGCCGATCGGTTCTTTTCTGCAAAAAGACGTGTGATACAACAGTCTGGGGGCTCCGGCACACCCAGCGCCTTTACTTTAAATTCCCGCGACTAAAAACCTATTCCTCCGTTCGGACTGGAAAATTAACCGGCAAAAATGAAAAAAAAACTGGTAATCGCATGCTTAGCAGATTGCAATAACTCCAGCTGCATTGGGAAGCTGTAGCAGCTGGTCTTTGAAAAGTCCGTCTAAGATGCTGGTGGAGCACCTTATCGGTGGTGGGGCGATGGTGGGGTACTTACAGACGATGTGTGTGCTGTAGCTACTACGGAAGCTTAATCGGATGACAGCAGTAAAGGGTTATTTATAAAGCACTATTGCCCGATCATTAATTACTTTCCCAACGGGAATGTACAGTAGGTGGCAAATCCACGGCGCAATAATTTACCGGTAATAAAATGGGAGGAGGATGGTCACAAGTGTTGGTGTGTGCAGCGGGTGGTGAGGGCGCATTCATGGCATTCCTTGTTCCAGCCTTGCTTCCATTTTTGTTTTCGAAAACAAAAATGTCAAGAATATTCTTGACTTATTCCCATCCCTCATTTCGCTGTTCTTTCTTTCACTTGCAACACCTGGTTGGATACAGCATTTTTTCAAGTAATATAATCCGAAAGAAGGAATAAATCGGCACCTTGGCCTTTGGAAGAAGGAATAGATTGAGGCCGACCCGTACGTCATTCCTCCAGCCAAAAACGTCCATTGCTGCCACATTGCTCCGTAGTATGCAGAACTTAGTATTTGCAATCTTGCATCTTTGCTCCGTAGTGTGCAGGATTTAGTATTTGCAATCTTGCAATCTTGCATCTTTGCTGGCGGGCCGCGGTTTGCAGCGGCGGGTGACGGCCAGTGATTTGCTATGCGGTTGCTTGCTCTGGGCCTTTGCTTGGTCGATTCTACTTACTGCTCACAAACAGTGCCAGAACTATCTACGAATGTGCACGAAGAGTGCACGCACGAACGAAAACGCGCCAACTCAGTGTGTGACTCTCTTGGGGTCTACAAGGGGAGTTGTAACTTATCGGGGAGTTTCTGGGGGCTTTGCCCCCCTCAACATGTAGTATCTTAGGCATCGCAGTATGGTTTATTTCTGGAAAAGACGTGATACAACAAATTGGTATCGAGACCTGATATCCCAGTTCCAATCCTTGTTTGATTGTCAAAAAGAGCGGCCTGCTGCCGCTGGTATCCTGTGGATGCGGACACCTCTCAGGTACCCTAAGATAGACAAACGGTAGAGGACGCCCGACTGCTGAGGGGGGATGATTGTGGTATCCTGGCTATCGCGGGATCTAACATCCGCCGATCGGTTCTTTTCTAAAAAAAAGATGATACAACACAGCGCCTCACAATTAAGGAACAAATAACGACAACCCTAGCAAATTTGTTACTTAGGTTGGAATGAATTGAGACCCGTCCTAAACGAAAGAAGATCACTGGTTGGATACCTATTGATACATTGAGCTTTGCTCGCTCCATTCCAGTGGATGGCCATGGAGCTGGGACCTCACTTATCACCGGGGCCGCTTCCTTGCTGATGAGTTGCATCGGATATATAAGCAGTGTTGGCCTACAATGACAAAGGCGCACATGCAATTCATCGATGCGCACACCCACCTGCGGAGGCGGCGTAATATCCAAAGACTTGGATCTCCGAGACTTGTAGAAGAGGGTACTTGTTTTGTAACGTGACCCATCGTCCAACCTTGGGCGTGTCAAACGCGATGATCTTTGAAGCGCACATGCCTACATCGGCATCTTGTCGCCAGACCAGGAGGTTCCCTGTAATGTTGCGTGTATCACCCCCTCCTGCTGCATAAATCCCCCGAGTAATGCTGACGTTCCCAATGCGCAGCTCTGCACTCTGCAGTCGTTCCGGACAGCAATCACACCGGTTGACGATGACAACCCGCTTCACAAGTGCCACGGCACCCAGGTCAACAGAAATCCAAGGCGCCGAGTCCGAGGCTTCCGAGTGAAATAAGCTTAAGGTGGATGCATCGAGGGGACTTGGATACTCGGTGACTCCATCCACCGCGTAACCTGGGTAGAGGTAAGTGTCACCCCACAGGTACACTGATGATGCGTACACTGCCTGACGCAGAGCCAAGTTAGGAAGATTGTCATCGCCTGCATGAATGGACGCGCGCATGGGCCACGTTGGCGTGTGCACTGCAAGCATGCGTGAGGAGATGACCGGGAACAAAAAGAGGCACCTCTTCCCAGCAGGCCAGGTAGGTACCCAATCGTCGACAAGCAAGTTTCACACATGCAGTATTTATGGCACTCATGCATCGTCTCTGACAGTGGAAGCACGCGTTCACTCGAGGGGGGGAGGAATGTAAGAAGGGATCAGCTCCCCTGGCATCTCCCTGAGTACTCTTTGCCTGGTGTTACATTACTGGTACCCTTCCCAACCGTAATCCGTAACCAATAACACCATGCTTCCAGCGAAGGCAAATGAATAGCGGGGGAAGTGCTCCACTGGACGGCTCCGGAATGGACCGCTGCACACTTCATGAAAGGTGTAAAAGTACCCCTAACAAAATGCACGTTATCGTAAGGCCATTGCGTATTATTTTGATATGAAAGAAAGTCCGTTCACGCACCAGTTGCACAAGTTGCCATCATTAACGCCGCCAGCAACATAAGTGGAAGGGAAATAACAGGCATAACCGCCGAGGATGTGGACGGTTCGCCTCGCCAGCAGCTGCTGGCGGCCTTGCGCCTTTCCATACTGAAATCATAGCAGCGGCATGTGCATGTCTATCTTGTCCGTGTTGAAACCGATATCCAGCAATGCAGTACAGCAATTACTCAAGCAAGCCATCGTGTTATGTATGGAGAAGATGGAGATCAGATGACCGGCGGTGGTGGCTTGTGCTGTTTGCACCCAAGCACTGTACAGATAGGCCACAAAAGAAACTAATGGGTGCCAAGGTGAAGCCAACAACGCAGCTCGCTCGGAAAGCACCAAATAAGCGGAGATAAGACACTCCCCTTCATCATGGGATTATTCCCGGCAGCAGCAGTGCTCCCACCTTTTATAGTTCCATAATATTTTCCTTCACCACTCATCAACAATTAATCATAATACGCAAGACTGGAAGCCTTGTATGCATACAGATGGCAATTGCTAAGAAGTTATCGGGCAGAGGAGCCGCGGCCGTGCAAAAAGGAAAGCAGCGCGGATGCAGTTCAGCCGTCCTGCTGCGTGAAGTATTTCTTAGCCGCGTTACTTGACCCATGATTTTTGCGCTATGGGGGCTTCTTACTTACCTGGTTTCGATAAGCTCCAAAGCACGTTCTCTCGATCGGTGCGGCGGTGGAAGTTGGCAGAGACTGTTGTAGATGTTTGCCAAAAAAACATGGAATATTGAATATGCAACTCTTGTACCTTAAATGAAATGCGAAAAGTACTACGAAAGCGTTTCGGAGGGTATATGCCGTACCTTTGTTACGCCCGCGGGCGGACGGCTACGTTCCTCCTACCGTAACACTTCGTGACACTCGTGAAGACGTATGTTGTTAGGGGGTGATTCCACCTGAACTAATAGTTCCTACGGATTAGGGGTTACTTCGTGGCGTATGGAAGCATCCAGCGCGCGGCCGCGCGGGTTATGAATGGTGGAGTTAGTAATATTGCGGAGTTTGTGGCCGTCGCACGCCCGTGTACGAACAATCACCAAATTTCGTTCGCAGTCTCGACAAATCTCGACAACATCTTCTATACTAGTCGTTTTTGTCTTTCACGCATGGAATATTAGTATCGGTAATTGTTGCGTTTAATCCGTTCCTTATTCGAGACTTCTGCTGTCCTCCTCTGGTGCTTACATCGTGATTACACTAAAACCGCCCCGGCAGCCATATCACCTGCAGCGAACCCAAAACATAACTTCGTCCAACAGCTCGCGGGCAAAACCCGATAAAACCTCCACTGAGATAACAAGAACGAATTCCTCTCTGATCGGCTTGAGAGCCGTACGATCTGCCCGCTGAGCGGCTCGACCCTTCTCTAACTCCCCTGCAGCTGCCCCGACAAGCTGTGTCGGCTTCCTCGAAGTCGGTGAAAGGGCGGGGCCCCCCTGCATCCGTACAGGCCGGTAGCTAGGGCGGCACGTGTGACAATTGTTGGGTATTGTGAACGAGGTGGGAGCTGTGCTTGTCAGTGCTCAGCAATCCGCCCCATAGCCGCGCGGATTCTTCGCGCACGAGCTTCATCGCGGCACACTGCAACTCTTCAGAGGCCCCGAGCATTGGCCAAAGTAATTGTACAAACGTATAGCTTGCGTACTTCATAGAGAAAAGAAAGCAAATTTTGTCGGCCTGCTGGTGGCAAGTCGGAATGCCCGTGCGGGCAAATGGTAACGCAAGCTGGGTGTTCGAGTTATCTTACGCCGTCATCTAAGAATTCAATTATGAGATACACGGCACCTTTTGAGATTAAATTTAGCCCGAGAGGCGTTGATGTGACTTTGGCCTAGGCCAATTGAGGCAGCCAAACTTGTTTGTGCTCATACGATTTTTGTTGGCTACAGGCGAGATACCTTGCGATAGAGAATGCTATATAGTACCTATAACGCGTTTCAGCCGGGCGAGATATTATGTTTGGTCCGTTACACACACACACACACACACACACACACGGACACACACACGGACACACACACACGGACACACACACGGACACACACACGAACACACAGACACACGAACACACAGACACACGGACACACACACGGACACACGGACACACGGACACACAGACACACAGACACACAGACACACAGACACACAGACACACAGACACACAGACACACAGACACACAGACACACAGACACACAGACACACAGACACACAGCCACACAGGCACACAGGCACACAGACACACAGGCACACAGGCACACAGGCACACAGGCACACAGGCACACAGGCACACAGACACACAGACACACACAGACACACAGACACACAGACACACACACACTGACACACACTGACACACACATGACACACACGTGTACACACACTGACACACACAGACACACACAGACACACACAGACACACACAGACACACACAGACACACACAGACACACACAGACACACACAGACACACACAGACACACACAGACACACACAGACACACACAGACACACACAGACACACACAGACACACACAGACACACAGACACACACAGACACAGACACACACACACACACACACACAATGAATGTATGAATGAAATGAGAACCGAGGACGGTAACCAGGCGTGTAGGGTTCCTGCCACTTCCTGGCCCATGTACAGAATCAAACCCAACACAGTAGTTACAGAGTCTCATAAAGTTTCATAAGTTCCTTCAACTACCGCGATTCTGGATGCCTGCCTGAGAGTTTCCGGGCCGACCCCGCAGTTGGTCGAAATTGCTCGACAGAAGGGTTGAAATTGGCACGGGGTCTACACCTGGGACAAGTTAAATTGCCGGGACAGGCCCTTGAATTGGCCTGACAGGGACACGAATTGGCCTGGCAGGGACATTCCAACAGTCAGGATTAGCCTGACAGGGACACGAATTGGCCTGGCAGGGACAATCCGACAGTCAGGATTAGCCTGACAGGGACACGAATTGGCCTGGCAGGGACAATCCGACAGTCAGGATTAGCCTGTCGGGGTGTCGAATTGGCCTGACAGGGACATTCCGATAGTCAAAATTGGCCTGTTCGGGGTGTCGAATTAGGGAAGCACGGGAATTGAGCGACCGGGGCAGTCAAAAGACTTGCTCTCCCCGACCGTGTGTCCTACCCTCTAGTGTAAGGGAGCTGACCGAGTAAGGATTGGCAACAGGCCAAAAGGAAGTTGGCTGCCTTGCCCTGCTAGATGGCATATACTGATCTTTTGCGTTGGATAAGTGCAGCTAAGCCTAAGGGCTTTGTTTACTGCCGCGCCTGAATGCATATCAAGTCACTGCAAGTGGCTGAAACGAAGGCAATTCTAGTGCACTCCATGCCTTAGTATATTACCTCTTTAACAATGTGCCCAATGTACTATACAGCATCCCTGCCAGGGATTCTGGCCAGAACCTGGCGAGACCTAAAATTAATCTTGAAATAGGTTCGCGTACCGTAGTGCTACTTATAGTTCGTGATCGCTTTGTTCGGGGAGGGGTCAAAAACCTTTCTGAAATTTGTACGTGCTCTTTGAATTTCGGGGAAGGCCGGACCAGATTTTGCGGGCATGATACAAATTTCGGGGCCCCTTCCAAAGTTTCGGGGCTTTTCAAACTGCAGCTTCCAGTCAGTCTCCCTCCACCGGGAACCCTTAGGCTCATGGTCTTTCACCATTTTCGCACTTTGGAAACGCCCTAGCAAATTCTGGACCGATCGTACAGTTCAGTACCAGTGGCAACGACCTAATAACCAACCGGCCGGGCCAATACAGTGTTTGGGTGGTTGCTACTGAAACGTATTTGTTGAAGAGGACGTCCAACAGGTCGAATGCCAGGCTGCGGCGTGAGCGCAAGCCTCGCCTCGCCGGCTGCCGTAGCATTGACCGCATTGCGCTCGCGCCTAGCAACCTCCTCGTGCTCCATTCGCTCACGCTGGGCCTCGACAACAGCATCATCAAGCCTAACTGGTGCAAATCCAGCTCGGTCGCTCACCGGAGCGTTTGGTGCTAGCGGTTTCATCCCGCATTGAAGCAGGGTTGCCTGTCTTGCACGTTTTCCAGCGTTGTTCATGTCCTACGCTTATGAATATATTTTATGTATTTAAGAGCTGATTTCCGCCTTGAAATCCTAGTTTTTGCGAAGTTTGATCGACCGGCTTCGGAGGGTACGATATTTCGGGGCTGCGGTCCCTTGGGATACCTTAGAATTTGCACGTGCTACATATTCGTGGTGCCTCCCGAATTATTGTAGCACGAACTATAAGTAGCACTACGGTAACCATCCTGCGTTCATCGCACCCCATCCGCACCAACGCCGTCGCCTGCATAACAGCATAGTTTTGCGTTACACCAATCGTAGTTTAGCCTGTAAATACTAGCACGTGCATATACTTGCGATGTATTTCTGGGGCGAATGCTTTTCAGATGACTGACGTAGCGTCAATCAAAACATCGTATCCAACCGTACGGATGCAAGGGAAATTGCAGCTCGGGGGAGCAGCCCGGCAAATACTCTGAATTCATGTGCCATAGCGCTCAAGCCAACGAGGTTGCTAGCAAAAGTAGAGGAGGTACACCAACGGCTTGTACGATTACATTGCGAGCCTAGCCAGGTGCGATAGGCTACTTGCAGATCAGGTATGTGTCACTTTTACTGGAAAGACTGATGATGTCTACCTGTCTAAGCTTGTACTGTTTCATATGCTGACCTGCTTGCTGTCCTGAAAGTGCTCTATGCCTATTTTTTGGCTATTGGCGATGTGGATGGTCAAACATGATCATAGCTTGTTGGGTGAAATATAAGCCTTTTAGCAACTTACAGCGGATGGAAAGATGCTTTGGAAGTCAGCGAGACGGTGGTCCCGAGCCCCGATCGTCGGCCGAGTACACACATACAGCATGCTAGCGTGATGTAGCTTGATCCCATAGGCTTGTATGCTAAGACCCTGGCTGGAGAATTTTGGGGCGGCCAGCCGCCTGGACAATCTGAATTGACGTAAGGCAGGGACACTCGGAATGAGCGGCGTGAGCGTGTCATCATTTGGAAGTGCACATGGCTCATCAGGAGGAAAAATAAGGTAAGTTTGGTCACGGTAGGCATGTTCCGTGGCCGGGAGTCAGGTCCCGATGCCCCCAAAACTGTTGGCCGAACTCTACGTGATATCCGATGCACACATGGGCCATAACGATTTTTCTCAAAAAATAGAATTCGGCAAGAGGAGGCAAAGCCTGTGTTATCGGTTGGACGCCTTTCCCTTTTGAAACCATTGCAGGCCGAACGCAGGGGGGGAGGAGGACCATATCTTCGATGAGCCACACACAATCCAGCTTGGAATCTTCGGGGTGTGTACTTGGGACGTCGTGCCTGCAGGTGTTATCGTCGAAATTTCTTCCTAGTGACGAATCCATCCAGCTCGGCACAGGAAGCGCACAGAGAAAGACCTTATTTCCACTATATTTCTACGGAGCGCCTGTGCAGCACCGTTTCCAAATCTGAGGTTTGTGATCAGCGCACCTGCTCCAAAGTGTTCCCCATTTTCCTGATATGCGCAACCATGGCTTCCGCTTTTCACAAAAGTATTGCGGTAGCGTTTTTGGGCAACTTCAAAACTTAATTTATTAAGTGATGTGACGTTAATGAAATATGTCGTTTATCCGCTGCGTGTGGCACAAGTACATCCCAAACCCCAACGATCGAAGCAAATGGAGTTGTCCGCGAACGCAAGGAGCACCCGCCGCTTCTTCGGGGCATTATTTCTACCTATCTCCAAGTTGGGCCTCAACGACTAGCCTGCTACCGCCATCAGGTTACACCACTGCAACCTCAATCGCCACCATAACCACCGCATCTGAGAAGGCGCATCCACGTCCTAATCGATGCCGCTATCTCGCCCCGTTAATGCCCCCCTCCCTACATCCATTCGTTTTGTAATATCTCTGAAATCTGACTACAAGTGTCATACCCCTTCCCTCCTGTGTAGGTGCTATACACGGTCTCCAAGGAGAAACGGCTCAGCAGCTTCAAGTTCGCTTTTTTCCGACTGTTCTTAGTGAGACTGGGTTATTAATAATTCGGAATTGGCGAGACGCGGGAGCTCTTGGTCTGAGAGGGGGTTCAGTGCTGGGGGCCCGATGGGCTGCGAGTTTCGGGTCGTTGCGTGGGTTTCAGGCGGGTTGGGTCCACTGCGGCCAGGCAGGTAGCACACGCCTGCGAGCGGAAAGCGGACTCGTCATAGTGTTCAGGCAGTTGGCATGCTGGAAAGACGTCATGCCACGTGTGAGGAAGGGTTGTACCGAAGGGGAGGAGCAGACCACGCCCGTACTCCCTCTGAAAAGCACTATTGCGAGCACCTGCATCTGGGTCCCCATACACACATCCCCAAGTCTCCACATCTCTCACTCCCAAGAAAGTAGCCTGCCCGGAGCACAGGCGGCACAGCCCTGAAAGATGCCCCACACGTATCATACATGAAATTAGGTTGCGAGCCGCATTTCACGGGGTTGACGTCAGGGGTCAGCGGCATGCGCCGCCGTGATGCCGGTGGACGGGGAATATAACTAGGATTTGGATTATTCTTTTCCTTCTGGATCTGGGTTTCCGCGGGGCCTGGCGCCCGACGCGAACCCACAACCACGCCCTCTCCTCACGCCCTGCTGCTGTGTTGTTCCTTCTCTTTCCCTCCTGGATAAAAGGGGGGTTGGGCTAGAACCAAGTCTGAGTCCATCATGTTTTCAGCTTGCCGCTCTTTCCCTCACGCACCGCTACAGGATTTCTTGCAGTTGTGGCTGCTGGTGGTAAACCCTAGTTACGGTTGGGCCATCAACGCCAGCAACAAGTAAGTTGGTAAGAGCCGATGGGGCTTCATGGCGGCCTCACACCGGCGGGGGCCTGAATCAAGCATATTGGGGGTTGACCGCTTAGCGTTTTAGGGGCTTATGGGTTTAGGGTTCGTATCCTCGTGTGGCGTCATTAGCAGGCGGCATGCCTCGTGGGTCGGCCGGCGCCGCGGCTGAGCTGGGCTGGGGCCTCATTGTATGATTGGAGAGCAGAAAGGGAAGGATGCGATGGTGGTATTGGTACTTGTGAGGTCAAGTAAGGAAGGCACCCGGCTGGGGTTCATCCGCTGCACCAAGGTTGGTCTACTGCTAAGCAAGAGGACCACGTAATTCATTGCCACCTAATTGGGTGCGGGCAGTTACTTGCAATTAAAGCGAAAGGTCCACCGGGAGTGAGATGTTACGTGTATGACGGCTTCGTACACCCGCGATGAACCCTCCCCTTTCCCTCCCTTCCCTTTCCTTCCCTCCCCTTTCCCATCACTGCGGCTGTTCGGTCCCCTAACCGGCACCACTGCACAGGGCCTGGGGGGTGGTCTCGTTCATACAACTGAACTCTTTCCTTTCGGCGCGGGTACGACGGTGTGAACGAGCATAATTTTGGGGCATGGGTTCTTCAGTTCAATCCGTCTGCAGTGCAAGTGAACGGCACTCTGAGCAAGGGGGTTTAGCCCGCAACGTGTACATTATCATCTTTATGGTTTTATCGTAACGTCGACTGGCCCAACCTAGAGCACGAAGGGGCCGAACCGTGGAGTCCGATGAGGGTCGCAGCTCTCTCCTTCATGCCATAGAACAAGTGGTCAAACACATCTCGTGTGTCAAACCGGCACCAGGGCCCCCTACATCGACAGCCGGACATTCCAATGATAAAGGCTGACCGGGCTCTGGGCCCCGGGCTCCGGTCCCCAGCCTAAGGGACCAAGGCGCTATGCCCCGTGCATGCATCATATGGTTTACGTTTCCCCGCCAATCCTGCTACACTCTTCTGCTATAGCATCGCCTTCCCAGCGGATGGCACACGTCTTGACCAGGCCTTGAGGCCCCTGCTGTATTGCATTGTGTTTGTTGTACTGTAGGGCTACACCTTTTTCCTGGTTTCGTTCTACGTTTACGTGGGGCTGTTGGGGCTCAACCTGGCGCTCAGCGGGTGGGTCGCGTACTCCTTCTCCAACAACCGCTTTGAGTACGTTTGGCCCATTCAGTTTTTAAGATGGTTTGGTCTCATCTTTTACCAGGTACATGGTGTGGGTTTGTACGTGTTGTGGGGTTGGGTGCGGGTGTGGGTGCGGGGTTGAAGGGAGCCCTGAGGGGCGAAAGAGAGGTGGCTTGGGAAGCAAGGGGGGTGCAGTGCGGCGTGGGCGAAGGACTCGCAAAGGAGCTGTCGGTGCTTGGAGAGCGAAGACCACATGCGTACACACACATATCCACACGCGAAACCTACTTACCCTTACATTCATGAGCATTCGTCCTGAGCATTCGTCCTGAGCATTCGTCCTGACGACCTACACATCGCCATACCCCCATACCCGTGTTCGCCCGCCTGCTGGGCCCTCCGCGTCTCCCTACTCGACCCATCCCCGCCCTCAAAAAACCATTCCCCAACCCCTCCACTTCTGATTCGATTAGATCCTCGACATTGCGACCCTGACATTGCTGCTGGTAGCGCTGGACTGCGACTACTTTGAAGTGCCGGGAGCCGTCAGGTTCCGAAACCAGGAGTTCCCTCACGTTGGTGAGCGAGGGATGTGTATGTGTGTTGTGGGGTTGTGTATGTGTGTGTGTGGGAGAGCTGCTCGCACGGTTGGGTGGAAGTTGGTTGTTAGTAGTACTAATGGGTTGGTGCGTTGGTGTGAGTGTAGGCAGTGGGTGGTAGGGGCAGGTGGTGGAATGAAGTGTTACGGGACGCACAAATCCCTTCCTCAGGTAGCTGTTGCTGCTCTGTCTCTGCCTATGCTGACTAGACGGTGTTGTGTATGTGTGTGTGCGTGTGTGTGTATGCACGTGCATCTATGTTCCTTCGTTTTCATGACCCGCAAACATTTCCCCCAACACTCCCCATACACCCCTCCACGGCGACGGGGCGGTCATGTACTGGGTACTGCAATGCTTTACGCAGCCTGTTGCCGTACTGTGTCCCCGCCGCACTGTAATGTACTGCACTATACACTGCAGTGTGCTGGTCCATACCCCACATTATCCACGTGACGGTCTCTATCTCGTCCATCGTACTATTCATCGTCATGGCCACCTGCATGGTGCTGAGCGAAATGGAGGTGAGTGGGAGGCTGTGTCGCATATATGTATGGACTTTCGCGCCCTTCCAAGCTATCTACCCATCTAGCTAGCTACCTACCCACCTGGCTAGCCATATGGGGATCGGACCCAGATCGCCCTCACTCCCTGCTTTCCCCTGCCCTCCCGGGTCTTCTTCCCCAGCTCAACCCCCTAACCCGCAACTTCATGGCTGTGGTCCACACCCGGGACGAGGGACTGTGCTTTGCCATCAAGACCACCCTCACCATCACCTCGGTGATATTGTCCGGGTCGCTTAAGGCGCTGTCCCTCGTGTATCTGGCCCTCTTTGTGGTGCTGTCGTACACGTGTGTCATGTGGGTGAGTTTCTGTGTATGTGTATGTGAGGGGGGGAGGGGGAGAGGGGGAAGGAATCCGCCAGTGAGAGAGTGCTGGTGTTGGGGGGGTTGGTTTACGGGTTTGCGGGTCATGAGGTAAGGAAGGTGTGTGTGGGGGGGGAGAGGTTTAATGTGTGTGAGGAGTGAATGAGGCCTGAAAAGTTGATGCTTCCCACACCCGTCATTCCGTCGTGTGTTACGTGTAACACTTGCCGCTACCGACCCACAGTGCCCGTACCCCAACCATCTCCCCCTCCTTCCCTTGGCGCCAACACGCACACGCACCCTTAGGTACCCTTTGTTCATAGCATCCCCAATTACGTCCGCTGCGCGTCGTACAGCATGGTGACGTACGGCTCCGTACTGTTGGTGGTGCTGGCGTTTGGGCCGTCGGAGGATATGGCCCCGGATGCGCAGCGGTTCCGGAAACGTGTCACCTTGGCTTTGTGGATTGGTATGGCTCCGGCGGCTGTAGCTGGTGCCATACTGTGTCACATGCGACTGCGCCACATTGAGCTTTACGTGGTCGAGAGGTTCAGGTAAACACTGCGGTAATATTAGTAGTGGTGATGGTCATGGCGGTGGTGGTGGCGGTATTGTATTGTATTGTGGTTACAGTATTTCCGCCGCCGACGCGGCGGGTGCCCTCACGAGCCGTGAGGCTCCAGAGCACGCTGTTGACGCTCACCAAAAACCTCAGTAAGGAAAGTAGCGATTTTCCTCGGATTGGTATTAAGAAATACCTTGCGCATATCAGTATCTTCAACGTTAATCAGAAACCTATTACGCAACTCAGTATACGCCTCACACTCCATGAGCACATGGTATTCATCCTCAACCTTACCCGACGTACAGACCTGACACGTACGGCACTCTCTCGGCCTATGGTGTCCTTTGTTGACCTCCAAAGGCCAACAACAAAGACGGAATTTGGCAACCATACGCAACTGGTTGGCCGGCAAATAAACACGCAAATAGCCTGTGGGATCGGAGCCCTCTCTTGCTGGTGAAGGGGAGCCCATCCAGTTATGATACCTGCAAAGCGAAACCCCTTTACCTTGGAACACACGCGGATCACCCCCTTGGCTGAACTGAT